TTTTTTTTCTGAATGCTTCTAAAATTTTCTGTTTATCTTTGATAGCCTGTTGATATTTAGGTAATAATTCCTTATTTTCTTATCAACTGTTTAGTTCTTTTGGTAAATTTCAAAATGCTTTCTTGCAATTTAGGTCATCTTCAGCAAGAGGATTGATGAATAACTTTGTTATATGACTGGAATTAAAACTCAAAGGCTTTTAAAGGTTACCCGTAAGTGTAGGAAAAGATGCACAAAGGGAGGAAATAGTACCAGTGGTTTCAAAGTTGAAAGAAATGTGGGTAGGACAAGGGAGATCTAATGTTTGTGAGCAGAGGAGAAGATCAGACTAGGTAGAACTGACCTATCTCCCAAAGAGCTTTTCATAAAGAATTAGAAACAGTAACAGGGAGAAGGGAGTACATAATTAGGTGACCTAAAGATATTTAGTTATTCACACATTTCATTCCATAGCAGCAAGCTATAGCAAAAACAGCAATGATAATAATAAAATTGTCTTCTTGTTTTATGAAGGTTAATGTATTGCTAAACTGACCAGGTAGCTTATATTTTTTAAGATGGACCTGATTTAAAATCATTTACTGGACTGTACTTTAAAAAAGCAACTTTGTAGAATAGGTGTCCTGGTTTTTAGTTTAGAAAATACAGTCTTAATATATATTACACAATCTCTTTCATGGAAACAGGCATACTTTAGAGGACATTTATCCCTATCAAAATATACAGGAAGAGAAAACATAATATGTTAATTTATTGATAATCTTACTAACCTTGTATTTTTTGTGTTATAATAATTGTCACTGTGTTTAAAGATTTCACTTGGCAGAAAAAGCTTAGGTAAGTGACTCCAATACAGAATTTAGATAAAATGCATGTTGCCTCCTTGCCAGATCTAAATTGCTTCCCCATAAAGCATTTTATCCTAATGGAAGTTGAGCAGTACAATCCAATATCTAAGGCAGGTAGAATGATCAATTTTTGTATGACTCTTCACTGGAGTTCAGTTTTAAAATGCCACTTCAAGATGATCAGATTTTAGAATGAGATGCAAAAATGGAGCAAAGAATCAAACATCCACTTCTTCCTCTCACGAATTCACTTAACTAAATAAAATTAAATGAATTAATAAAAATCCAGACAAAATGCAGATCATCATCTTAGGCCTTAATTATATAATGCTTAAATACATTGAGCTTGCAAAAGAAATACATATCTGCATTTTTCCACTTCATGAAAAAAAGTACATGAGCCAAATCAATCTGTAAATCATTATCAATGTGCAAAGAATGTTAGAGAGATTTTGTGGTATTCCTCTAAGCTTTTGTATTTGAGAGGGAAATTTTAGTTAAAAATAATAAAGTTTTCATTTGGGCAGCACTTCAGAAATTGAAATAATTGATATTACTGGCTAAATTATATCTTTACACAATTTACAGATAAGTTATTTTTAAGCCAATTATCCTTTTGCAAGGGTCATTATTTAGCCCACCTGACAAAACGTTTTTCAAAATGATATAGCAGCATTCTTTCTTTTTGTGCATGTTATATTCTTAACCACTAGTTCCTTTCCAAGGTAATATTAGGCATTATCAAAGAGTTCAACTGTATTTTTCATCCAAATTAATTTTAATGATTGATTTTCCACTGATATCATTTTCTTATTTTTTCCTTAAAGCTACTCAAACTATTTGATTTCAGAAGATGAAACCAAGGCCTACAGCTGGGCCCTGAACCTCTTTTGGAGGAGCTATTTCTGAGTTAAAATTTGATAGGGTAAGAATTCTTTGCATTCTAAAGGTAGATGATGAGAGAAAAAAGCAATCGGAACACAAATGATTAAATAGCTATAATCTACATGCAATTATTATTAATTAGAGCATTAGTATTATGCCCCATATAAATCATCACAACCAAAAGGGTTGCTCACTAAAAATACCATAAAATAAATATGAATATATATATATATATATAAAATTTTATAATTCCATAGATTCCCAAGTAACCAAAATTTAAGAAACCTTGACTTGTTCTTGGAAATCACATTTCATTCTTTCTAGGGGAAGCAGAGCATGGAATTTTACTGAGACTAAGCAGATGAACGTGTTTCATCATTATTAGGACAACATAGCCATTGGCACAGCAGGTTTATGCTGTTGCCTCATTAGATGTCACTGAGAAAAGTGAACTGAGAGCAGAGAATGAGCAAATCCATCTAGAGAGATTATGTAAAGAGACTGCCAGGCAGCTCAGTGCCTTAAACAGTCATTCCCTTATTTCTAAAGTGTTCAAGAGTGCTGTAAACATTTCTGAGAGAAATCCTGCAAGTTTAATATTCATTACAAACTATAGTCGCAAACAGGCCATAGAACTTCTATGTGGAACAGGCAAAGAGAGGAAAGCGAAGCCTGTAGGTTGAGGAGCCATTAACTGCAGCTCAGGGAGGGAACTCAGCAGGAATCAGTTTACTAGCCTGTTTCTGGGCAGAATAGAACTGACTGTGTCCTATATAGAAGATCACCACACTTAGAAATGTCTTCCCTCGTGACAGATTAAAATTAAACTATGCCAATGAAGAGAACAGACTCTTTTTCCCCCCTTAAGACCTACTTTGAGATGATCACTATCTTTTATACAAACTTTTGTAGTGTCTACATTATGATTTTCCAAAGAAGCTGACATGTGTCTCTCAGATGGAGCTACATCAGGGTTGTGATAAGACTACAGAGAAAAATCATGAAGAAGCTTTATTTATTTCAGTATTCCTGACATAATAATGTAGAATTGCTTGACTGGCCTGATTCTTCTCCCCCATGGTAAAATGAAACTTATCCCTCCAGCCAAAATTATATGTGCAAGGACTAACATCAGTAAATTGTCATGCTAATTATATACTAGAGGCCTGGTGCACGAAATTCGTGCACAGGGAGGGTGTTTGTGTGTGTGTGTGTGTGTGTGTGTGTGTGTGTGTGTCTCAGCCTGCCCTGCACCCTCTCCAATCTGGGACCCCTCAGGGGATGTTTGACTGCTGGGATCAGGCCTAAACTGGCAGTTGGACATCCCTCTCACAATCTGGAACCGCTGGCTCCTAACTGTTCACCTGCCTGCTTGCCCGATCGCCCCTAACTGCCTCTGCCTGCCTGCCTGATCGCCCCTAACCGCCACTACCT